CGGGGCCGAACGGCGCCGAACGCAGCCGAACCTGACCGGACCCCGCTTCGTCCCTCAGCGAGCCCCGCTCCGCTCAGCCACGCCCCCTCCCCTCCCCGCTTTCTCATTGGCTGCATCCTCCTCATTCTGCCTTTTCATTGGTTAAGCACCCTGTCACTCAGCACCCGCCGGTCCCGCCCCCGGCGCGGTGTGGCGCTGCCGCACCTGTCCGTGCCTTAAAGGGCCAGCTCACCCCTTTCCCGTCCCGCGCGAAGCCGGGGTCGGGCTCAGATCCCGCCTGGAAACTTCCCGAATCCCTTCCCGAAAGTGCCCGAACCGTGCGATCCGTGCCCCAGAGAACCCCGCAGCTTGGCGGAATTGTTGAATTTTATAATTATACCTAGATTGTATAGTCAGTGATTTTTCCCCGGGTGACAGTCCTCCAAGGGACACGGGGGAATTCTTGTCCCTGTATCGTGGCCAGCTAAGGTCATTCGGGATTTTCCTAAAAGGACGTGGCTGAGTCTCTGACCCAAATTTGCTGAAATCAGCCCCAAACCCTCCAGTGCTGACACCTCAGTGACTTCTCCTGCACAGGGAGGCGGGAGCCCAAACCTCATCCATTCCCCTCTGCTGCCAAAACTGGGGCGCTTTGGTCAATCCTGGGACACGAGGAAGCAACAGGTTCCTTCCCCAGCAGGATCCAATCCTCAAATCCCATTTTTGGGATGAATTTTGCCCTATTTTTTTGCCTCACATTCTCAGTTTTCGTGAGAAAAACTCACTCTCGGGCATAGAAAAGAGCTGTCACCTTGTGTCACCACCCTTTGCTTGGAAAGAGCACTGAATCACAGTTATAATTTAATTTATTTTTATTCCATTTTTTTAATTGTTTCTCTTCTACTCCTGGCTGGAAATTCCCTGGGAGCAGATGCTGACACGGCCCTTTCCGGAGGAAGACGAGAGCTTCACACAGAGGAACCAAAACCAAAAATCCCCTTTGTGCTTTTAGGGTCAGGGAGGAGCCAGTCCCACCTCCAGAACATTGGGGTGCTGCTGTGGAGGAGCCCCCATGAACCCCCAAAATGCTGATGGGGACTTGGCCACGAGGTCTTGGTGGGGTTTGAACCTCACAGAAGAGTTTGTGTCCCTACAATGAAGATGATGGCGCCCATGGATGTCACTCTGGGATGTCCACGGATCTGTTGTGATTCCCAAAAAAACCCCACCAGGTTCGTGTGTCCGCCCATCAGATCCCTTCTCCTTGGCGTGTGTCCCCACGCATGTGTCCCCATGGGTGAGGTGGCCCCAAGTGACCCCACAGTGGTCAAGCCACCATCCCACTGTCCCCAGCTCATGGTGGCCGTGTCACACACCCCATGGTGGCTGTGTCCCACACCCTATGGAGGCCGTGTCACACACCCCATGGTGGCCATGTCACACACCCCACAGTGGCCCTGTCACACACCCCATGTTGGCTGTGTCACACATCCCATGTTGGCTGTGTCACACACCCCATGGTGGCAGTGTCACACACCTCATGGTGGCCCTGTCACACACCCCACAGTGGCCGTGTCACACACCCCATGTTGGCTGTGTCACACACCCCATGGTGGCGATGTCACACACCCCATGGTGGCCGTGTCCCACACCCCATGGTGGCCATGTCACACACCCCATGGTGGCCATGTCACACACCCCACAGTGGCCCTGTCACACACCCCATGTT